CAGGGTCTCTTCACCCCAAAAGTGAGAGACCCGTTTTCCTTTTGGATGAGAGGGTTAAGGTGAGGGAAGGAAAAGGAAAACATCAGAAGTCAGGAGAGAGAAAAATACACAGCGTGATTTAAGCAAATAGGGCTCATTAAGTTCTAATATATATATTTCTGTTGCTAGGAAGCGTTGCCTCGCATGGTGACAGAGCGCAAATTGTAGCACTTATGAATCACAGGATTTTTTTCCTTCTAATGTGCAAGAGAGAGATTTTCTGACAACCCATCTCGAAGCTTGCCTCTTCCCCCCTCCCCCCCCCTTCCCCCATCCAAAAAAAGAGAAAAGCGTCTCTCTTGTTTTGGGGAAGAGAGCCCCCTGCCTGTCTTGAAACCAAGAGGGGAACAACGGGTGGGGGTCCTGAGGAGGCTTCTCTGAATCCAAGGGGGCAGGCTGGGCACAACAGGCCTGGGCGATGGGTCTCGTCTGGGACTGGGGAGCCCTTCAGCCTAAACCCCTTGGAAATGGGGTGGCGATGCTGCCCCTCCAGCATTGGGTCTCCTCCTGGCGCCCTGTGTTGGGGCTGCTTGCTGGAACCTGTAAACTTCAGCCGTGTTTGGTTCGGTTGGACTTGGGCAGGGGGAGCGCGTGGTCGCGGTTCTTCCCCTGAAGGAGAATTGAGGGGGAAGAAGCTTCAGAACTGGGAAAAACTGGGCAGCCAAAGTGGAAAAGTTGAACTCAGTACTTGAAGTCCTGCTCAACTGTCTTTGACTGCTGCGCTCATCCAGCAACGGTTCGAAGGAGAGTCCAAACACCTTCGCCCTGTTCTGCCCTTCCTGCTCTCTCCATGATGCATGGTCTGAAGACCTACGAATTGTGCGTGTTGCGTTGTGCACTCTGGCCACGAGGAAATAGAGGGGTGGCATCTGTTGTGTGATTTAGAGGGGTGTTTGACCATTGGAAGGTGGACCTGTTGGGGTCCTCTGCTCCCCGGAGAAGTAGGACGGCGGTCGGTCTCTCAACTTCAAATGCACTTGAATGGATTCCTTGGTAGCTCTGGAAGATGGAAGTGAGAGGCTGATTTTCCAAGCGATGGCGGTTTTATCGTACGGCTCTCACACCAGACATCCCTTCCTGCCCACAATAGTTTTTAATTATTACCTTGCAAGTTATTCCCATCATTTTCTTCGACAACACCGTGAATCAAGCAGGTTCTAAGATGGAGATTTATTTAAATGTGATAAGTTAATGAGTCAGTTAATTGGCTGACCTCCCTATCCGAAAGGTAAGGCCTCTTTCGACAAACCAGGTTACACCTCCCTCGTCCACCCAAGATGATGGAGGGAAGGAAAAAAGAATCGGTCATGGTGATGATGTGGCAAAAATCCTGTGTGTGTAAGGATGAGTGAGCTCAGTGTGATTTTTCCCCCCCTCTCACGAGTAGATGCCTTATCTGTTCCTCTGCGTTGTGCTTGCTTTTCAGCACAAAGGTGTGCTTACAATGGTTGGCCTCATAATAAGTGGTGTGATAGATCAG